TTATAATTTTTCTGTTAATGGGCCAGCCGTACTAGATTAACCTCCTTGAATACCAGGACCTTTGCATTAGCACAGTGCCAGAAATATAGTAGGTAAAAATAAGTATCTGTTGTATGAATGAACAAATGAATGAATACATGAACTAAAGCATTTGGATAGGAGGATTCAAGCCTGATAAGTTAGATTTCTTAGTGTCAGTGTTGTTCTGAGAAACACTTACACTGCTGAAGTTAATAAGGCAGAAGAAATTAATGTTATGCTAGCCTTACCTGGTGTAGGTTTAAAAAAAATAACAAGCATTTAACACAGACAGACCATCAAAAGTAACTAAGACATCTAAGGCACACTAAAGTAAAGCCAATTATCCTGACAACTATGAGGATTTACTAGCATTTACTAGGCATTTAACTTCCAGAGCAGAGGATTCATTTTTAGCAACCATTCAGATTGTAATAATTCTGGACCCTTCCATATAGCCTGATGAACAATACTCCAGATATAGAATCTTATACTATTCCTGACTAGTAGAAGCACATTATTATAGTATTTATACCAAATTATATCAATTTATATAATTTTTTAATTATGTAAGTTAATATAATTTAAAACTGAAGTGAATAATTGTAAGCTTTCTAAATGATGAAAATATTTTATTAGTGAATGTTCTAGACAAATATCTTATTCCCAATGATATATGCATACACTGTATTAAATATTACTTAATTTATATTATAAGTGACTAGTAATTGGACCATCTGTAAAACGAAAGGAAAAGCAAATCTTTGTTTTAAATCCTAATTAACCCTGTGTTATGTGATGAGCAAAGCACCATAAGCACAACACATTCTACCAATAAAATGGCATTATAAAAAGGGGGGGGGGGCTGCTCTAATTTATAGAGAAGCAAAAACAACAGAGCAAAGACTGATACAAATGATGACAGTCACGGGGAGAAATGAAGATAACCTTTCACTTCCTTTTACATAACACATAAAACCATTCTTTCTCAGTGGTAAGGGCAAACTTTTATTCTTATACCTTCCTTCATATTATGCAAGAAAAATTATATTTAATATTACCTAGGATAGCATTGCAAGTATGCCACCAAATATTTCTAAAATTCTTTAATTTTATGAAAATATTTCTGATGACCAACAAAATAATAAAGCTGTGCAGCTTCCTCTTTCTGTGTTCACTATACTCATATTGAACAGGCTACTATTTTTATACTACAGTATTACCATACCATTTGCAATGCAGTATTTCAAGTCTGTTTCAAAAAAAATGTCCAAGAAATAGTTACTCTGTAAGAAACCATGAGCCAGAAAAAAGTCACGTATTAATTTTGAAAACACTGCTTTTTAATTTAGTAAATATTTATTGAGCATCCATTCTGTGCCAGGAAATTTGCTTGGAGATTAAAAACTGGCAAAATCAGCCAAACACACACACACTGACACATATACATGGGAGTGTCTTATCTCTTGGTGTCATAATAGGGGTCCAACAGCAATGGAAGGGTGTTTAGAGAAAGGAGAGGCCACTTCTGGTTCATAAGAAGAGAAATATCAGAGGGAGAAGGAACCAGGTGACTTGGGCATTGAAGAGTGGGCAGGGCCTTGACAGGTGGAGATGATGGGGAGGGTACTAGGTGGAGGAAGTTCACTGGGAAAAGCCCAGAGGCAAGAAACTGTGAGATCAGTTAACTGAGTTGGTAAGGACCAAAAGGGATGCATGTTTTGGAGAACAGTGGGAGATAAGCCATCTCAAAATGACTGCTACATGAAATTGAGTACATTTTGGTAATTATTCAGGAGTTTCCATAATACATCTACAGTGGGTAATGAACAAGAAGAGCAGATTAACATGTACACAAAAAGCTGATGATAATGCTTGATATGTAAAAAGAGATGCTATAATAAATCTGAATATCTGAAGTTGGATGACATATATAAGTTATTTATTTTTTTGCCCAAAAACAATTATTTAAGGTTAATAAAGCAATTATTTTAGAGAATTCAGAAAACACAGAGCAGTACAAGAAAAAAACTAAAAAATCATCTTTAAATTAGCTACCACCTGGATAAATCTTTCTTTATATTTTTATGTATTTCTTTCTAGTTTTATTTCTAGGTCTGTGTGTGAGTTAGTGTATGTATGTGAGGGAGAGAGAGAATGTGTGTGTGTTTTTAAAAACAAATTTTGGAATCATTTTATAGGTATAATTTTGTATACTGCTTTTCCTTTTTTTTTTTTTACAGCTTTGAGGTATAATTAGTAAACAATAAACGGCACATATTTAAAGCATACAATTTGATAAGTTTTGACATATGTATATATTCATGAACCTGTGACCACAACCACAGTAATGAACATATCCATCACTCCCCCAAAAAATTTTCTCATGTTTTTGTAATTTTTGCCTCCCATTCCTTCCCTATCCTTAGACAATTAATCTGCTGTCATTATAGATTAGTTCATTATCTATAATTTCAAATAAATGGAATCAAACAGTTTGTGCACTTTCTCATCTGGTTCTTTCACCAGCACAATTAAGATTCATCAATACTGTTGCATGTATTGGTAGTTCACTCCTTTTTTACTATTGAGTATTATTTCATTGGAGGGATATAACATTAACCTGTTAATGGACATTTGAGTTGTTTTCTAGTTTTGGGCTATTAAAAACAAAGCTGTTATGAACATATGTGTCCAAGTCTTTGTATGAACATGTGCTTTCATTTTTCTTGGGTAAATACCTAGGAGTGAATTGGCTGAGTTGTATGGTAGGTGTGTAATTATTAAGACACTACCAAACTTTTCCCCGCTACCAATGTACAAGAGTTCCATTTCTTCTACATTCCAACCAATACTTTGTATAACCACTCTTTTGAATTTAGTCATGATAATAGGGTATAGTGGTATCTTATTGTGCGTTTAATTTGCATTTCCCTAATGGGTAGTAAAAAAAGGTTAAGCTTTTGGCTGCTAATCAAAAGGTTGGAGGTTCGAATCTACCCAGAGGTACCTGGAAGAAAGGGCTGATGATTGACCTCTGAAAAATTGGCCATTGAAAACCCACAGGAGGTAGTTCTACTCTGACACACATGGGGTTGCCATGAGTCGGAAAGGACTTCCCGCCAACTGGTAATGACTAATGATATTGAACATGTTTGCCACCATTCATCTTTTTTGTTGAAGTGTAAGTTCAAATACCTGTCCATTTAAAAAACTTTTTTTTTTTTTAATTCTTGAGCTTTGAGAGTTATTTATACATTCTGATATGAAGTCCTTTATCAGATATACAGTTCGCAAATATTTTCTCCCAGTCTATGGCTTGTCTTTTTATTCTCTAATATTTTAAAAACATATATTTTACTATCATTATGGACAAAATTACACTTAAATATTGCTTTAAATGTTTCCATTTCTTTGACTACTCGTGAAATAGATTATTTAAAAAATATTATCAGATATGTGAATTTTATTTTTACTTTATTTAGTTATTTTTGCTTCCAATTTTTATAAGCTTATGAAGGCTATATTTCATCTATTTATCATTATTTTTGGCAATTAGTTGTTCCCAAATTGTTGTTTACCATTGAATTTTTGTAATTTGTTGGAATACATATTTCTGAAATTTTAATGTCTTCAAATTTATTTCTTAATGAATTTCTATGATTACTTTCCTGCTTAAAATTTCCTTCTCTATTTGAAGATATTTATTCAACTATATTTTCTTCTGTGTATATAATTTCATTTTTGAGATGTGTGAAATTTATTTTGGTATGTGATACAAGATAAGACTCTAAAGGTCTTTTTCAAGTCAGTATTCTTAAATTTTAATAGATCTTATCATATACCCTTACCATATTCAAAATTCTTACATACATTAAAGTCTGCTTTTTGGTTTGCATGTCCTGTCCATCAATTCTCATGTTGTATAATATTTTCTAATATTACTGAAAAAATGTCACAGGCATATTGAATGCAATAGTTTAAAATGTAAATAAATTTAAAGAAGTTAGAATTTTTATTCCCCAATTCAAGAACACGGTCTATTCCTCTATTTATTAAATTCACTTTCATTTCCCTCTGAAGATTTGTAGTTTTCTCTAATGGGTGTCACATATGTCTTGATAAGTTACCATTTTGTTCCTATTGTGAATAGGAATTTTTATTTATTTTGCTTTCTGATTATGGCTGTTATATATAGGAAAACTACCAATTTTCATGTGATTTTTACCAGGTCAACTTAACTGTTTTCTCTTATTGATTCTAATAGCATTTCAGTTGATTTTCTACAACTGTTTGGCTGGTTAATACCTAAAAATAATGATGCTCTTGTTTTCTCTTGTATCATCTCATTGATTTGGCCCGGACTTCTGGGACTATATTAAATCATAGTGGTGGTAAAATATATATTTATTGTTTTTCTGACTTTGATTGATATTGAGCCTCCGGTGTTTCAGTATTAAGTGTGTTGCTTTTGTTGATTTAAGACTAATATTATTTACTACCTTAATAAAGTATCCTAACATTCCCAGATGATTAATATTTATTTTAAATCAGGAATACATCAGGTATTTTAAAATCAAAGTTAATAGTCTTTTTTTAAATGTCATATGATGACAATGCATATAGATATGGAAAATTCAAGCTCAAGATAATATATTCAATGTATATGCCTGATTTTCTCCCTCGTATAGACATAAAATATTTACTTTCTTAAAATAATAAAATTATTATAGCAGAGGAAGCCAAGAAGAATTATATCAACTTCAACAATTCCTGGAAAATGTAAGTCCAAGATTAGCCCAATAGAGAATGCAGAGCAGAAAAAACAAAAAACTGTATCATGACACCCAAGCCTAATTGTTTGCCAGTGAGGTTTTGGAAAAAATTTCTGAGAATCAACTAGACAAAAATAAAGAGAGAGAAGTGGGCATGGAAAATAGTGATGACAATTTGTTAGATTTTTTTTTTTTTTTTAATATTAGACACAGAGTCACACACACACGAGGGAAGACACACATGTGAGGATTGCCAAGGAACAAGGAACTCCAAGGAACCAAGAACACTGGGGCTACCAACAAGGAAGGAATCCACACAGTTGTGATCCTGATTTGGAATTTGTAACCTCCAGAACTGTGAGAAAATAAATTTCTGTTCTTTAAAGCCAACTGTTTTTGATACAAAATACCATTTTCTATTTCTGTTACAGCAGAGCTAGAAAACTAAGACACCTTATTATCCTATACGTCTAAAGGGTCTGCGGTGATCTCCCCTTGTTTCATTCCTGATACTGATAATTTCTGTCTTCTCTCTTTTTTTTCCTGTTCAAAAAACCAGTTCTTCATTTCATGAATTTTCTCTATTGTTTTTATTTTCACAGGATGCTTTTAAATTATTTTTTAATGTTTCAAAATCATTCAAATGTGTAGACTATAATAATATAATGAACACCTGTAAATCCATCACCTAGATTTAACTAATGTCATTCTGTCAGATTTGCTGATCTCTGGCTTTTAATCAAATGTACAAGTAAAGTTTCATGCCACTCCAATCAAATCCACTCCCTCCTCCTATAGAAATAAAACAACTTCCTTAAAGTATCCTTCCTATTCATGTTTTCACAATTTGCATAAATAATTACAAATAGTATGTTGCATTATTTTATGTGTTATAAAACTTTATATTAAAAGCCTGCTCCATATATCTTTTGATGGGGGCAAGGTTATAGAAAAATGCTTGTACACTATAAGAAAATCTCTACCAAAATGATAAAAAAAAAAAAAAGGCAACTTACATTTGGCCTTCATGTTGGAGACCTAAAAGGGAGAGAGAGAGACCAAGGTGAATTGTAGTACATGGACATCTTCACATTTATTAGGTATTTTAAAATTATTCCCAAAGTGGCTTAACTAATTCCTGTTTCTAATACCAGTATATGAGAGTTCTCTGTTTTCCTTAATCTTTGACACTCTTGGTTGTCTTAGTCTGGGTTCTCTAGAGGGGCAAAACCACTGAAGTATAAATATAAATACATATATACACACATGTATATACAAATATATATATATACACAGAGAGAGAGAGGTTTGCAGCTTTTTCTTCTCATTTTGTCACCTGAAAGCTTTACTCCATCCACACCATTAAGGCTGACTCTACTTTGAGGAGGCAGCCTTTCTCCAGTCGTATTTTGAGTGCCTTCTAACCTGAGGGGCTTATCAGCACTATATCAGACAATGTTCCACTGTTATTCATAAGGTTTTCACTGGCCAATTTTTTTAGAAGTAGATCGTCAGGTCCTTCTTCCTAGACTTAGTCTGGAAGCTGTGCTGAAACTTGTCCCCCATGGGTGACCAGTGGCATGGCTTCCAGCATCACAGCAACACGCAGGCCACCACAGTACAACAAACTGACAGACGAGTGGTGGTTCTTTAGAGAAGTAAAACCAGTGAAGTGTGTATGTGTGTGTGTGTGTGTATATATA